CCCGCCAGGGCCGCTCCCCCAAAGGCCACTACGCCCGCACCGGCCTCTGCTCGGACGAGCTTCACGTCGCCTGCAGAGCCCTGCTCCGACGGCCAGCGGGACCCAGCAGCGTCACCTCGTCGTCGGGCAGCGCGGGAACAGAAACTACGTGACGGTCACTCGGCGAGCACGGCGCGCGCGTGTGGCCAGCGGCACAACAACAACACAACAACAAAAAAACAAAAGGCGCGTCAAGGCCGCAGCCCCGTTCGGCGCTCACCCGGTGTGTCGTGGGAGTACGCCGTCCATCCTGGCAGGAGCAAGCTGCTGGGCCAGCCTGCAGCAGCTAGCAAGGCGGCGCGGGGGCGGATGCGGGGCCGGGGCCGGGGGTGGCCACGCGCCCCCCAGAAGCGCCCCAGCGCCCGGACAAAGTGGACTATCCACGGACCTGGGGGAAAATAAAACCCTGGGGGGGGGGGGTTTCCCCGGCCCCCCCTCGGCGCCGCTCGCACGCCGAGTCGCCCTTTTCTTTTTTTGTTCGCCCCCCGAAGGTACGACGCATTTTGTCGCTGCATTCACTCTGCTTCGGTTTATTAAAAACAATCATCCTGATTACCAAGATACTAACTGTACTAGTAAGAAAACTCACGGCTTGAAACAGGATACCTCCTTCCTCACTCTCATCTCTTCTCTCTTCCTCTCTCTCATCTCTCCTCTCTCCTTCTCTCCTCTCTCTCTCTCTCCTCTTCTCCTCTCTCATCCTCTTTTCCTCTTCTCCTCTCTCTCCTCTCTCCTCTCTCTCCCAGGCCCACGCCCGCGCAGGCCGACGAGGAGGCGACGCCGCACGTGGCGGGCGGCAGCGGCGCCAGCAGGTGGCAGCGCTCCGAGTCCAGGTGCTCCGCCGACGTCACCAGCGAGTTGGGCGCCGACGGCGCGCGCTGCGGCTTGGCCGGGCCCACCGTCGTTATAACCTGCAAGGGGCCCACGCTCGCTGCGGCCGCCGGGGCGCGCCCACGGCTTGACCCGGGAGGGAGGGGCGCTGGGAGGGACTTCGAGCCGGGGAAGAGAGACCTTCAGGAAGGACTAGCCAGACCGAAACTAAGGTCGCTCGGGAGAACAACAGGTTGGCCCGAAAGCAGGAGGAACATTAGTAGGATTCATCATTAGTCACCTGCCAGAGCGGCTGAAGAGGGAGAGCGAATAAACAGAAGTTTAAGATGTGGGTACAGAGGAGCGCGGTAAGTACAAACTGGTGGGTAAAGCTTAATGAAAACGTCGAGAATGCGTAAGAATTGAGATATCATTCGTATGCTAAGGCGAGATTGTTCAATGTAGGAGGTTATGGAAGATAAGGAGAATGGAGTGTAAGAAACGAAAGGGAAGAAGTTTATAGATATTTTCAAGGTGGATGACGAATTAAAAAAGAAGGGCAAAAGATAAAAATGTGGAGAAGAAGAGAGCGTATGGGACCACCAGGAAGGACTAGGAATGGCTGAACAAGAGTCGAGAGATTTATAAGAACATAAGAAGGGAATCATGAGAAGAATGTTGTGAATGGAACCTGGCCTTTACAACCGAGATAAAGGTAATAAGAGAAATGACAAGCGCGGGGTAGAGAAAGACTGAAGTGGAAAGGCAACGCGAATTTACAGCAGCCGGAGCGGACTTAGTGGAAAAGCTTCAGAAGAAGGGTTGATAAGTTAAAAAAATTACACGATGAAGCCACAGGGTGAGGATATTTGTATACTCCTTGTCGAGGTTGAGGAACAGTTACGGAAAGAGCGGTTGTTGAAGAAAGACGTAAACAAGGGAAAGGGGAATAAGTGAGGGCGGAGCGGAAGGCCGGAGACGCAAACGCGCGGGTAGACAGCGAACCGCGAAGCTCAACGGCTTCGGGCGGTCGGGCGGCGGCGCGGGCGTCGCCCACCGCCCTGGGCGAAGGGCGTCTGTGGCGGGCGATGGCGGCGGCGGCGGCGGCGGAGGCTCCAAGCGGCGGCCGGGCGGCGGAGGAAGACCGCCCCTCCCCTCCCCCTCGCCGACGCCGACTTCCCAGCGCCTCAGCCACGGAAGCTCTCAGCCCGTCCGTCGCGTACCCGTTGAAAAGAACATTCCGAATGACGATCGACGAAATTCAGTTATTTGTTAATATCAAAGAACCCGAAATGTTGCATGTGGATTTTGTGGGAAGAGAAGTTTTATTTTGTGAAAAGCTGCGAGGCTGAGTGAAACACAACAAAGAACTCAGCTAATTAAAAAAAAATCTGCCACAATTTTCGTACGGATGCTGATATTTAGACTCACGATCGAATGCAAAAATTTTTTAGAAAATAAAGCCGTGTCTAATGATTATGTGAGGAGGTGGGAATATTTCTTTTCTGAGAATAGAGTTTGTGACCAACTGATAGGACATAACAGAGAGCGTTTCTTGCTTTATTTCAATTCTAGCCTCCTCGATGGTCGCATAGAATTCGTACGTGATGTCTAACAAAGTGACAATGAACTAGGTTAATAGAAAAGCAAAAAAACGAAAAGGATATTGCTGTTCTTTCCGAAGTATAAAGTCATGGGTGTGCACTGATGATTACATGAGGAAGTCTGAAATATTTCATCGCTGAGAATCGTGTGTAACAAAAATATAGGACGTTACGGTGCACGTTGTTCCTTCCTTTGTTTTTGCTTTTAACTGTAGCCTCCGCCGACGGACGGACAGGAGCCGCACGTGGCGACAGAGAGCGCGCGAATGGGCCCGGCCAACGGTGGCAGGCGGGGGCGCCTGGTGGCGGCCGGGCCGGCGCGGGGGGTGTTGGGGGCGGCTTGGGCGGCGCGGGCGCCGGGGCGACGTACTGACGGGCGCGGGCGCGTGGCGCGGTCGCTAGGAAGCGCCGGCCCTGCGCAGGCAGGGCATCATAGGACGGGCAGCTGGTATTCGGCCGCGGTGGCGGCGGCGCGTGGGCGGCGACTCGCGGCGGTGCCGGTGGCGGTGGGGGGGCGGTCGGTGGCGGCGACCGATCGACGCACGGTCGCGCGGCGCCGCGTCGGCTGCGCAGTCGAGTGGGGGCGGGCGCGGCGGCGGGGCCGGCGCCGGCGTCGTCGCGCTACTCGCGGCTACTACACTACAGCCTCGGGGCAAGCTACTAGCACTGACAACAGACATGCAACTAGTCGCTACGAGGGCCACACTCGAGGCGGAGGCAAGCGAGCAAGGTGTTGGGCGGTGCACAGCTTGGGGTCAGCCACTGAGCAAGCTCTGCATTCCGTCTGCTTCCATACACGATACAGAGACTATTTTAATAGATGGCATTACTCGACCGGTTTTCGTACGCTTTGTGAGGATACTCGTAGTCGATGAATTCATATTTGAAAGAATTAGTTATTTTATCTACGACGGTGCACTAACAACTGAATAACACTCCCAATTGGATATTCTATTGACCTTCATGACGAAACACGTGTTCTTACATTTTTTGAATCCTAATTAAAGCATACCAACAGAGGGGTTCTTGGTCGAGTTAAGTTTGACTCCCATTGAATGTTTATTAAATTTAATTTTCATTATTAAAATTTTGAAAACTTGTTTTATATTTCCTTTTACTAAATTCAATTTTCTTATGTATGTGTACTTTAGATAGAGCTCAAAGCTTGAGTGAAGTAAACAACCACGTTGATTAAATTAAGTTAAATTGAATTTGAATTAGTGTATTAATTATTATCTTTATAATAAAGGTAATATAAACAACAAATGCAGTTCTGAGTGACTTAAAATGAGCTCAAACTTGCTGTGCAGGGCTGAACAGATTATATGAATTCATTTCTCCATAAATACGAAAAAAAATACATGAATATTATTCATAGAACATCCCCTATATCATATCAAAAATTTAGCGTACTCAATGAATGTTATTTTAGTACCTTTCCTTTTCAGCGTCTAAGTTTGAAAGATCCCTTTTTTGACACAAGTAAATAAAAAGTTTGATTTCAAAGCTGTCATCATACAAACTTCAAACAGAAGTCAAACTCAATCTCCTCTTGTTGCAAAATCATAAAAATATTCCTTTTTTGTGTGTGTTCTAAAATATTTTCAATGATCACTCACCACCTTTACAAAAAACACCTTTAAAAGTTACACCTTTAAAAATATTGAATTTTTAATATTAAAACTCTTGCATGTGAATAATACCATCATTTTCATTAATATGTAATACATATTTATAATCATTTTCCTTTTTTACTTTCTTTGCATTGCTTACTCAGACATAAAAGCTCCTCAGTAAAAGTAAATTTTTAAATGCAAAAACAAGAATCATGCAAAAAGTACATGTGCTTTGCTTCTAATTAAATAAAATTGAGAAAAGCCATTATCAACCAATAAAATTTTTTAAATTTTTCTTCAGAACTTTTAACATTGTGATGTTTCAAGATTGATATGTTCATGAAATATCATGATGTTTTGTTCTCTTCTAGAAATCTTTGATTGAAATAGCAACTCATTATTCTGACTCCAAGTGTGCATTACCCAAACATCTTTATTTAATTAGTGTATTTTTTTCTATTCTACATTTAGAGCACAAATACATTCCAAAAAATGTGGAGACTTCATAAAGGGCAACATTTTGCTCCTTTTTTTGTTTGTACATGAAACACAACTTTTCCTCATGCATCATTTTGTCTTAATGAGTCTCTCCACTGTTTTGGGATTGTTTCATGCCATCACAAAGATCTACACAACACTCATGCAAAAAGTCTGTTTAAATAACAAAAAAGTGGTAAGTTTGGACAAAACACCTGAGAACAAACTTAAGCACATTTTTAAAAGGATTCATTAGGCAACTAACACGCATCCTTGGGACAAATGGGGAAGATGAAGACAAACCAATACACAACGAATACCATTTCTAGATGAGAGATAGAGCAGTTTAATAATAATGATGCTCTAAAATTCTTCCAGAAAGCTTCCCCACGCAAAAACGGAATTCAGATTGTTTGAGCAAAACTGCAGACAAACAAAAGCAGGTCTGGTCACACAGGAAGAAAATGGTTTGCAGGAGAAAAGAGCGCGATTACAGGGATACTATGAACATAAAACTTGCGTCAGCAAAGCTGACACACAAATGACAAGATGAAGAGAACGGAAAAAGCGAATTTCTTTAGTCCAGTCGTACCTGGTGTCACAGTTTTCAGGGCTCACATGATTGCAATTTGCTGGGGGGCGAGAAACGGCAGCATTGAAACGCTTTGCATGGGAGACAACCTACAGGGCAGAACAAAAAAACGTCGAACTATTTCCTGAATGTATTTCAAGAAAATTAAAATCAATTGTTTCAAGGAAAAATGTATAATTTGGTTCTACTTTTCAAATAGATGCACATAAGAAAGTGTGCGAAACAATAGCCTGTACAAATGTTTGGGTTTGGAGCTATAATTTGTGTTTTATGTACAACCATTTCCAAACAAAATGAAATTAAGAATTCAAAATCATTTTTAAAGATTTCATTTAGATTCTATGGTTCTACTTGATTTTTGGATTATAATGGATAGTTTAGCTATTGGTTTCTAAGCAGGATTAAGGATTTATTCAATTTAATACTTGCAGGTGTCGCAGAATGAAGATAATTATATTATATTTCAAGGTTTGCATCTTTATCTGCCTGCTCTTTCTCAAGCTTTGGGGAAAGCAAGATGATATTCACATGTCACACAGCTTGCCAAAATCTACTGCAAAACTAGTCATTTGTGTTGCTACAAAAGCCCAGAGCTTTGTGATGGAATTATTTGAACTTAAAAGCAGTCTTAAGATAATTATTATTTTGCTCTGAAATATTTAGTGGTAAAATTTAATTTTTAATAGTAGGTCTTTAAATTTTTATTTTTTTTTTTGTGGAAAATTTTAATTGAAATTCTTTTAATAATCTGTTAAGTTTTGTTGCTGCAGCTACAATATAATAATATTTTCAACATTTATAAATTTTCAATTGAAATTTTGACTGATAATACTGTATGAAGTTACTAATATGTCTGCCTCAAGAACTTTGGTTCAAAAAAGCTGAAATGCTTTTCATTGGCAGTGCTAATCATGCACCTGCAGAACAATCACTAATAGCAGGAAAGCAAGTGCCAAAGCTGCAGAAACTACAAATCCAAATTTAACATATTTTTTATTATTTTATTTAACTAAATGGTTTAAAATCACTGGTGTCTATTAAAATGCAATATTTAAATAAAAATAATGTTATAATTAGCTAACGAAAGTATTAAAGAAAAAGAGCAAACCAAATACAACCACAAATTACTTGCAGAATGCAAAGTGTATTCAACAGGCCCAAGCAGCCTTGCCAGCGATATGTCGGTAGCTGGGAGCTTGAAGCCATATTCCAAAATAATGGCCAGACACTAATAAACATATAGTAATTTACTTTTGTTTTTATTTACAAAAAGAAACAGCAAACAAGTATGTCATTACAGTATCCAAAGAGAACACGAGAAGGAAAATAACTTACAGTAGCATCTGGCAGAGGAAATCAGTGTTGTTAAGCGACTGATCTTCAGTAGTAGAAATTATCATACCAATATACCATAAGGTGGTACAAGGAAATGCTATGCGCTAATGCGCTAGTGTCCACATTTAGCAATACAACTGAGGCCTACAATGAGTGCTTATTTAAGTTGCATAAGCATTTTATAGGTGATAGAAAGTAAATAAACCAGTCAAACACCCAATTTTTTGTTCTTAAAAGTATCAGTATTTTGTGCCTTTAAAGGAAAATACGTTGTGAATTTATAAAAATAAATATTTGTAACAAACACATACGTTGATTTTTTGCGCACAAGAGTGTTTATAGCAATACAATACTTAAAAATTAACAATTCTACATACAGTGTGATTTGGAAGCAGTTACGATTTCTATGGTTCATATGCAACTTAAATTGAACACTTCTACAAGCCCAAATCACTAGAATCACAACCAACCAAACAGTTTTTATTGACATACCTTGTTAAGAGCCTCCAGAACGTTGTCAGGCATGTGGTCCTGAATCATGACTGGTGAGATGAGCACCTCGTCGAAGTCGGTTGTGTTAGCCCATACAGCTTGGTACACTGGCTCGTGCTTGTTCAACACCTGCCTACAAGATCACTCGGCATGCAATCTAGCTCACCATATTACAGAGGAAGGAGAATGTGGTTCAACATTTAGGAAATCAACATCTCTGAGTACAGGGAATACAAAAAATAGGGAAATATTGACTAGTATTACAAATTAGGCCACATTCTGTTCTTTTCCCTCTGTGACTTTTCTTCTAATGAAGAAACTACTTATTTAAAACAATATGGGCAAAAACTTTCAATGCATTTTAGGGGACACTTACAAACTCAATGGGCCAAATTACTCTCAACAAGGTATCAAATATGTATATCTATGCACCATATTACACCACAAAAGCATGTCATTCTCAGAACCAAATATCAACTACTCTCAATCTGTTTATGAGTTTCACAACACACAATACAACATTCCCAAGTCACAAGTAAGGCATTCTCAGACCTGCCTGCCCACAGCACAGACTCAACCCTTACAACATCAGAGGTCAGAGCTAGACAACTTGGAGGGAAAACTCATTGACTACACAAGGTTGTGGGCCACAAACGTGCTGCCAACCACTCATGCTTGCTTGATTTTCAATGATGAGAGCCATTTCTTACACTGAGCTTTAAAGAGCTCCATTCCTTCTGGCTAAATGGAATCAGCCAGACACCAAAGCTCTATAATACTCTCTGGCAACATGACAACCATGCAGGGAGGTAGGGCCCAAGGGGATAACTGACTCTTGTTTTATTTAATAACGTTCCAAAAGGATTTATATTTAAAGGGTAATGTTTGGGAAAGGAATTGTAGCATCATTAATGCAATACAGTAAAATCTACCACAAAATAAAGATTTTCACATCTAAAGATGAAATTGTAAATTTTATGGTTGTTACAATAAGTGAAAGAATTGTCATCTATTATTGAATATACAAATATTACAGTGAATAAAAAAATATGATTCGTGACAGGAATTGTCAAATTTCTATCATAGTTGAATGTTGTGAAGAGAAAAAGAGAGTTTATAAGTTGTGATGTGAAAAGAATTTTTATGAAATTTATAAGAGTGGTAATGGAATTAATATCAATAGATCAGAAGAAATTTTATTCCTAATTCACTTCACGTTCATTTTTCCATAACAAAGACATCATTGAACATCTATTGGGTTCTATTCTAATAAATCAAAAATACTAAACCCCCACTATGTTTGAAGAAAATGTAGCGACAAAAATAATTTTATTTGCTTTCCTGATTCCCTTTTTTAAATTGATCTCTCCAGCCTGTACTTTTAAACAAGTATTTTTTTGAAAGATTCTCCATTAGGAGCAAAGATTAAGCTCATTGACAGATTTTACTGTATCTAGCCAGAAAATGGCAAAAAACACCAAAGTAGACAGCTTGAGCCCATGTTGCCAAGCTGACCCTGGGGCTTACATGCTGTGGGACAGAACATTGTCTAGCACGTGCAGACACTGAGGGTTACATACCTCCAGCGCTTCTCATACTTCTGCCTACAAAAGAAAACAATGCTCTACTATAGTGAATATGGTTGGGTAAGAGCATGGTGTCAATAGAGTTCTTCCCGGTGTTCTGAGAACGGCTGCTTCTAAGCAGTTGAAACTCATTTACAAAATATGTGTATATAAAGATTCCAAGAAACCTGGTTAGCTTGAAATGCCCAAGAATGTAATTTAAAAAATCTTGAAAGTTTTGCTTATAAAACTTTCTAAATCTTAAAATTAAACACTGATCAGTCTTAAATGTGTACATCAGAAAAAATAATTAAATTTCTTAATTCACTGAAAAGACAACACATACTTTCTTCCAAATTTTGTAGTATGCATATTGGTGTTTTGTAAAAGTGACAGTCTGAAAAGAAATATGACAGATTTTTGAGTTACATATACATGTTTCAAACAACATTGTTGAAGAGAATCTTGGGCGTTAATGTTTTGACAACTTTTCAAAGAAAATTAATTTTATTGTTTAACCTGCATGTAAATATATATGAAAACATTAAAGACGAAATCACTACTCATTATTTGTTCTAGTTTATTATTGTAAGATGCATTTCACAATTCGTTTTTTGGGAGGGGTTTGTTTTCGTGCCACATGAGCAAGAAGTAAAAATGCAATCAAAACTAATTTAATCAATTGCATGGTCACAAAAATTACTAATAACTTTGACAAAATGCTGGAAAGCAAATAAAAATTGCAGGTATGTGAATAAAATGAGGCAATTGTGAATTGAATGCAAATAACTTTAACATCATAAATCAGTGTACTATTTAAAAGAATTTGTCTTCCTTTAGGCACATTTCTAAAAACATGATATAGGAGAGGAATCAGCCTGAATATTATAAATAAAATTATGAGTAAGAAACTTATTAGAATAACTGATTTCTTTTTATCCATATTCTGTCATTTCTCATGTCATGTAACTTCTTGAAAAGATTATAACACAAAATTTTAAAAAATGGTCTTTTTTTTTCTTCATAATTATCAAATTCTGAGATACATTATTTCAAAATGCATAGATTTGTATGTAATTAAACATGAGATCATTCAATACCTTCCCAACATTTTTTCATATAATTTACAAGATCAATGAAAGTACTTGTGTTTTATGAATTCTTAAAGAAGCAATTTTGACGAGGTATTTAATGGAAGCAATCAAATGTCATTCAATAAAACAGAAAATTAAGAACTATTTTTCAGCAAAGAAAAATAAGGATGAATGTTATGTATGTAACTATTTTAAGAAATTAAGTTACACCAGTCTACTTACTCGCCCTTTGTGGGATGGTGTCTCACAATGTGAATGATGCGTCCTGGTGGATAAAGAGGCTGGTGCATAGTAAGTGCTATGCTAGAATCGGAAGGATGCATTGAAAGCTCCCGTGCACCTTCTTTCTCCTTCTGATAGTCAGACACATCACTTGCTTGCAACTCAGCAACTGATGTAGGAAGTGGGGCGCAGCCACAACACACCACACTGCAGAATATTGTCTTCCACTGAAGCAGAAAAAATTGGATATTAGATTTAGAATAACATCATATTACTCAATTACTGTAACATTACATTCCAAAACATACAACAGTTTAAGTACTGTTGAAATGGTTAAAAAAAAAAAAGAAGTAAAAATTATAATTTCCTCTATTTAAGAAATAATATTTCAGTTCTTAAAAATAAACATAATAAAAATTTTTACTTTGTTATATGACCTATTAAGAGTAAAAGTGGTGCAAGTCAAATTTCAGAAGATTTGAGTTAGATGCACTGGTAGGTGGTTTTAACATGGTTCCATCATGGACTAAAATGGTGCAAGTTAAACTTTAATATTTCTTTGTTAGGTCAATCACAAAGCAGAAGTATTCAAATTGCTTATGGTGCTCTATGCAATTGTGGTGTAAATCACATGTGGGATGAAACAACAGCTTCCAGGATCTTCCAAGAAATAGCTACATGTTTATCTGCACCCATCACAGAAAAAGAATCTTGGAAAAAACATTTAATTGCCTTTAGTGACAAGTGCACAGGTCATAATGCATTCAAAATTGCTCTCGCTTTGATGAAAATCATGGCTCACAATGACAATAATTTAAATATTATTGACCACAAATTTCTTGTATCAGGGTATCATTGTACTCATTTAAGAAAAATGACTCAGAGTTTGGGAACATAGAGTAAGTTGACAAAAATTAAATTCATTATGTTTCCTCTGACTAGTGAACCATTCCATTAAATCCGTTCGCTCGAAAGAAGAACAGCATGTGAATAGCCCAAGCAGATGTTAAGTCTACTTTGCATCTTGGAAAAACAATTATGAGAAAGATTAATAATGCAGGAGCCAAAGTAAATAGGCTGCAAATACAGTGGGTGTGGTTACTTAGAGAAGAACATTCTAACTGTAGCCAGTAACTGTACAAAAAGGAAAAAGACATGATTAAACTTTTGCAACATGTACCTCCAGTACATTAAAATACTTCAATCCACTGAAAACATTCCTAGTTCAGGAAGATATAGACCATTATAACTAGCTCAAGATGAGGAAGAGCCTGCGGTCCCAACTAACTTGTCAACAAAATGAGCACCGTTGACTTACTCTTTAGGGAAATGCTTATTCTTAGTGGCTTAATGTAAAACTTGTTAATACAGTAAACAAACTTCTATTTTTTTTGTGTGATATTAATTAATTATAATTGATAAGTATAAAATATCAAAACTTAATGTTAAAATGTATTGTGTTCTTTGTTCTTTTGTTTTGCATTAATTTCACTCTTTTTCCCTATTTTTACATCACATCACTACCGCAAATGGAAATTATGCTGCCAATTATTTCAATGTAAGTCATAGTTTTCAGAAACTGTTTGCAAAAGTGGTGTAAGTCAATAAAATAGTCAATTACTTAATTATTAAGCAATGATTAAATCCAAATTACCTGTAGTAAGTTAAAAGAATAACACTTCAAGACATTCATAACACTTTAGGTCATTTATATCTAAATGTAGTTTTTCATTACTCATCATTTTCTAGAAAGTATTATGTTTTTTGACTTACACTTTTGCTCTCAATGGCTCATATATCTTCTTTGGTCTGAGCAACACCTAACCTGGCTCCATTTTGTATCCTCCTTTCATCCCAGTCCTTGACAAGATTTGATGCCTGTAGCCCATTTTGGCTAATCTTTACATTCTTTTTATGCTTAGTTACCTATGTCTAAGCTTCTATACACCAAGTGTGAAGAAGGATTGTGGATGAACGGTTGCAGGAGAAGTTATACATGGGGCAGTGACAAGGTTATCATGCAAACAGGCAATGGTTGGCCTTGAATGGTTTTATCTCAAATATGTGATGAAAACATTCAAAACTTAGACGGATTTGAAATTTTGGTGTATCTTGCTTGAGCCCATGCCCCTTAATCACTAGGTCTGCTGTACCCATAATTGTCATGTGCATTCATTCACATTTCTTCTTTTAATTACTAAACAGTGGTACTAAATTAACTTCATACTCATTTTTCATTAACAATTATATTTGTGGTTACTTCTTATAGTATGCAAACCAAGGAAGTTATACCTTAGGATCTTTGGAGCGCTTGATGGTGTTGATAAGGTCTGCTCGCAATGCCTCCAACTGATGCAAACCAATTCGTGGCACCACATCTTTCCCCAGCACCACTGACGTAATAAATGATTTAGTGTACTCTGCAGCTGGCATACTGTGAACATCCATGAATGAAGTGTATGAAATTATTTGACAACTCAATTGAAAAATAAAAATAGCCTTTTATAACTTGATATCTAAAACGTTATTGATGGTATCATGATTCTTTAATATTACATATCCTAATATTTACATTTCTTATATTTTTATTAAATATTATACTACACTAATAGCTTGTAATATTCTCAGCATTATTTTTATATTCCTAAACGTATTTTCAAAGCCTTTAGAGTTTCTTTGAATATTTGAAATGGACAAATTAATACTTTTCAAAAAACTTGAAATACAGTCATTCAGAGGGTAAAATCAGTCAATTTTATTAGAAAGGCTTCATTGGATTTAATTCCTGTTAAACTCAAACAGCTTAGGGAAAAGCGCTCAAACATTCTACTGTTTGACACCCAATGCTATTCAATTCGGTACATTCAAAAGATACACAGAGAAAATTAAGGTTTGTGCCTCAATTTCATATTTAAAGCCTGTGTTCACAGCAGTTTAAAATATGCCTGAGCCCCACACTGTTTTACCCAGTCATCCCTTTGGAGTGTGGTACCTTCCCCAATTGTTTAACTACCCTCTCCTTACCAGGAAACAAATTAAAATGCAACATTCCATGGGGTGAGGTCCCTGTGGTCTCGAGAATGTCACAAAAACGTAGACTTCATTAATTAAATTATGGAATCTCTTGTTTAAAAAATCCCTTGATCTGTTGAGTGTTTGGAACCTCTAAATATCGTCAAGTACAATTACTTTTGTGATGTCACGTCCGATACTTTGCGAGCGTATTACAAAGATTTCAAATAAATTTTTATTACTTTTCACAGCCACGTTGGAAATGAAATTGGATTACTTCAAAATAAAATAATTTTTAAGTAAGGTCGATATGTGGCAGACCAACGGGAAATTTTTACATACACGAACAATAATAATCATCGTTACCAGAAACCTACAATACTTTTTGGTGTTGAGAAGTCCCCGTTTTTCTTTGCAGCATCAGATAACTTTCTCTATACCACGTAAGTAGTATGTGAGAAAATGAAAATGATCTGCTACAGGTCCGACGAAAGAGACACCAAGTCCACGTCGAAGAATTCAGAAATGCGTGCTGGTTAAGTGGCGTGTCAGGAGAATACGACCTGAGAAACTCAATATGTTACTAGTTCTCCCTATTTTTACATTCTTATTGAAGTACATTAAGACCTAAAAATATACTACGCATTTCTACTTTTTTATCACAGCAGAGTTGAAAATTGCCGTGTATAACAATGGCTCCCCAAACCGCTGTCGCTTGTTAATTGCTACTTTCTCTGACCGTCTGTGAACAATCCTAGCGCTAGAAAGGGTGAGAGTGAAATCTGATTATGACGGAAATATGGAACACGACAAAGAAGAAGTTCCACATTTGTTTTCACTAATGGTAAGTTTTAACTGCAATTATTATTTATTTTCTTCAATCTCGAACACTTCCTTAAAAGTGGGGGCAGGGATTTTGCCGACATTTATTCCTCTCTTATAAATGCATTAACCACCACTGTTAGACATATGGATAAACGCTACGTGGCTGAGTGACGAACGGAAGCACAGAGCCTAGCGAAGGCAATGAATTCCGCACTGTTTAATGACTTCAGGACAGCGTGGTCCGTGCTATTGTGGAGTAGCGCAAGGGTTGTGACGTCGGAGGGGCAGAGGAGAGACGGTGAGGTTATTTCATGAAGTCGGCCTCACGCGACGTTTAACCGTCAATTTAACATTGCGTGTAATTGCCCCCAGATTATCTTCGCGTTAAATCCTAACGCCCCTTCAATTAATTTTCGGGCTATTCGGGGACAGGCCTGCATCAGAGGCGAAGCGGTGGTGAGGTGCAAAGAGAATCTGCGGGGGCTGAGGGGATGGGAGGGCGGGTTCGGTGTCTGGTACAGGGGGGTCAGAGGGGGGCGTCGGTGGGGGGTTTCGGAGGTGGGGTCATGAGGGTCGAAGGAAAGTAGGAGGAGGTCGAGGGAGTCCAAGGAGGTGGAGCAGGATAGTAGGCGGTTTCGGAGGGGGAGTCGAAGGGGGGTCGAAGGGGGGTCGAAGGGGGTCGAAGTGGGGTTCGAAGGGTTGGGTGAAGGGGGGGTGAAGGGGGGTCGAAGGGGGTCGGAAGGGGGGTCAAGGGCGGTAAAGGGGGTCGAAGGGGGGGGTGAAAGGGGGGATCGAAGGGGGGTAAAATGGGGGTTTTGGAGGGGGATCGGTGGCGGTGCAGGGGGAAGGCGACGGGGGTCGGTGGCGGGGTGCAGGGGGGGTTGAGGCGGGGTTTGGAGGTGGGGTCCGTGGGGGTCGAAGGAAGGTCGAGAGGTTCCGAAGGGAGTTCGGAGAAGGTGGACAGGAATAGAAGGGGTTTCGGAGGGGGTGTCGTGAAGGGGGGTGCAGAGGGGTTCGAAGGGGATTGGTGGCGGGTAGGCAGGGGGGGGTCGGGAGGGGTGTCGGTGGCGGGTGCAGGGGAGGGTCGGAGGGGGAATCAAAGGCGTGGTGCAGGGGGGGTTCGGTGGCGGGTGGCAGGAGGGGGGGTGTCGTAGCGGGGTTCGAAGGCGGGTGCAGAGGGGGTCGGGCGGCGGTGCAGGGGGGGTCACAGTGGTCGGTGGCGGGGCAGAGGGGGTCGGTGACGGGTGCAGGGGGGGGGAGGTCGGAGACGGGTGCGGAGAGGCGTCGTGGGGTTTGGAGGAGTCCGAGGCGGGGAAGGAAGCATAAAGGCATATTTTCATTTGTAAAAAAATTGCCTGACGAATAATAAAGGCATTCGTTTATATTTTCGTAAAAAAATTAACTGCATCACGTTTGATAAAATTATTTGAAACATTATTGATGCATAGTAATCAACACTTACCGCACAAACTTTCAAAATATCTAATAATCCAGTCATTAAAAATACTGCAAATAAATATAATTTCTGACAGAACAATGCTGAATTTGAGAACAAAATTGGCGTAGTAATTTGAAATTTGGTCTCGGTATGTATTTAAAGAGAAAAGGGGGGGATTAAGGTTCAAGGGAGGTTTTCCCTACCGAACTTCGAGACATCTCTGCCGCGTGTCATTTCTGCGAGGACGAGACGAACCTACGTCTGTAACTCACGTTTGAATTGCTTTGAATTGCACTGCACGCAGGCCGTCATTATAGCATTACTTTATTAGAAATGAAATAAACGTCACTAATTTGTCTGGAAAGTGTCTTTAAAGGTTACAAATGATGTCGAATGTTATAATAAAACTATCGTTACAAGTTAAAGGAAGGATGTGAGTGGCCGGCGAGAAAATGGATTTAAGAGAGGACCAAATTTCTAATACTTCGTTTTACCAAAAGGACAATAGAAGTCTGGGGTCACGAGTAGATTGGAGTTCTTCGGTAAAAAAGATGTTCTCTCTACAATGTAATGCAACGATATAACGAAAGCATGCTATCGATTATGCTATGCTTTTATTATAATGATAACACACGAGCTACGAAAGTGAAATGGCTGATAAGTCTTACAACGTGAATCTGTCATTTTCGTAGATTCCAGACGATTTTTGTACGTTTAAAGGGGTATTTGAATCGAACTAACGAGGGCTATTTGGATGTTTTAATTAAAATGTTTCAAATAATAATAACATGTGACATTTGTAAATTGTTTTGAACTGTAAAAGACACTTCCCGATAGCAAATTTTGGTGACTTAAAAATGCCAAATCAATGATTCTGAATTATAAATATTTTGGAAACCAATTTTTTCTTTACGACTTCATTTTAACACTTTTTTTCTGCATTATCAAATGGACTAACTTTCTACGAACCAAGTAATACTGGACGAATTCATGAACCTACTCTCGACCGTGGTTATGTGCTAACCATACGTACATACTCTCGACCATCCGGAAAACGAACATGAACCATTTATTTACTGTCAGGCGAAAAACACAACTGGCCTGCGGTGTGCGGAAATATACACTCCGATTTTTATCAACAGACAGTCCGTCTGGCGCGGCTGATGCATTGCGGTGCAGCGGTGCACTTAATTAAGGGAAGAGGGGAGGGGAGGGCAGTGTGCAGCGGTTGGGGCTCTAATTAATTACTCCGCCGCCGGACACACGGGCGCCATGAGCGGTCTCGCAGGGACGCGGAAACCGGGTCACCCGATCGTCCTGGGGCGGAGGCGGAGGCGGAGGCGGAAGCGGAGGCGGAGGCGGAGGCGGAAGCGGAGGTGGAGGCAGAGGCCAAGGCGGAGGCGGAGGCGGAGGCGGAAGCGGAGGCGGAGGCGGAGGCGGAGGCGGAGGCGGAGGCGGAGGCGGAGGCGGAGGCGGAGGCAGAGGTTACTGAGGTTAATGATCACGTGTTTTACCAATAGGGGGAGGGGAGGAGCCCAGCGATTTAACTTCGATTTCATTAATGTTTTTGACGATTTCGATAAATTAATAAATTGAAAGAACTGATAACATAAATATTCTATATACTGGCCGTAATGATTAAATATATGCAAAGAGAGTTTTCCTTATTTTGATCAACAGAATAATAGGAGTCTAAGTTGTTATTAAAAGTCTCGTTAATTGACAGTGTCTGGCCTCTCATAGGATTAAATTCATTATATCTAACTTCGCTCGGAGCTTCTGACGGTTTTCATTACTTTTTTTTCCGCCCGAAGGTTAATAAAAATAAACGTAATGTACAATAGTTTCTTAACTCAACCATCAACAAGAATAGAAATAATTTAAAAAATGCTTTTTTGTAAAATTAGGTACATCGTTAATCTGATAAATCAAGCCGTTACGATTCTGTTATGCCGGAAAAGCAATGAAGGAATTCTCAGCGTTTCAACACTGTAGGTGCCTTGGAAAAAACAAGCGAATAGGAACATGATTTTTCTAGAATACTTTCTAAATATTCTAGGAGGTTCTGGATAAAAACATTGCTAATGGATTCTGGTCCAGGAAAATATAATCTCATGCCTAGGCGCCTTGAAGCTCATCGAAAACGCCTTGTAGACGCTTACCTCGCCCCCCTCCCGAATTAGTGATCTTCGAGAATTCTCTTCCAATGTTCTTGCCGGATTCGTAAAAAAAAGTCCATCATCAAACGTTTCGAATGATACCTCGCTTGAAAATAATGGACGGGAAGATGTCTTATCGTAAGTGATGGACGGACACTAGGCCGGGCACCATGCGGGATACGATTAGCACATCTGCGATTAGAATAAAGCTTTTTCTTTGACGTTATTTCTCCCTTTCTTGAATTTACTGCCGCAAGTAATGATCGCAATAATTCGCGAATGACAAAAGAGGAAGCCGTGCGCGCACTGCGAGGCGACCCCCAACGCGTGCGGGACGCGCGTGCGCGTGTTGGTGCGCCTCCCTGGTGGCTTCTGCTTTGCGCGCGTCACGGCTGCGCTCACTGGCGTCGCCCCAGGTCCAATTCCCAGCCCTTTCAAGCGGTAGGGCTAAAGGAACGTCTTTTCACCAATTGTTGTTATATTTTGTAGCCGTGCGTTGTGTTTGAAAAATAATTTAGCATTTACAAAGGCATTGCTAATGCCAGGTTCCAAGAATTGAATTCAATATTTAGGTCGAAAACAAGATTTATTTTCTCAAAAATCATATTCTCAACCGCTAATTCAGAATTTGATTCAAAATACGTCTATTTCATGCGGACACAAATAATTACCTGCCAATGTTCAAGGTCGATTTACCACGAAGATTAACACTTTTTGTGTCGCTAATTGTCAGTTATATGTTACTTAAAACATTATTTTTTTAAAAGCTTAAAACCTTATTTTATTATTATTATTAGCAACCCAGTTCACCTGTCTGTGCTAAGGACAAAGGGCTATATTTTTCATTGTTAACTTGCGCTTATCCTTTTTTATGACGTGATCCACTCAACGGAATTTGATGGTAGAGGAAGTAAACCATCTAACTTCAGAGCGTGTGTGGTCAAGTGTAAAACATTACTACAAATAACATGGGGGACACTGAAGCGGTCTTAAACGGACAGTCAAGTCAATTCGTCATTCGGGTGGTAATCGCGGGCCATGCTAGTCGCGTGCTTCATGGCCGTACTCCAAAGGCTAACTTTACTTGACCTGAATTTCAAACGTGTACCTGATGATGAAGAGCCAAGTAAACCTGGCAAAACGTTAGATTATCAACTGGCTAAGCCTGTTGCCTCCGACAACGGGTTCTTTCATGTCGAGTAATTAATTTGGTCTCTTGACTCTTTTCAAGAAAGTAATTACTGCAACTTCAATTTCTTTGAGTAAGGCTGCAAGAACTTGGGGATGCGGATGTTTACGCTCCGCTTACCAACCTTTCCAGGTCATAAGCCTTATGAGGATGCACATTGCAGTAATTAAAACACATTTTCTTAATGAAGAGTTTGTTGACAAGGTTTCTTGCCTTCCGAACAGAAGAAGGAAAACCACATCAACATCCATGCCTAACAAAACATATGATTATGCTCAATTTTTAAGTATTCAGGCTTCTCAGATCTGTGATATTCTTAATATTCGCATATCGATTTAAAATTTATTAGCACATATGTAATACTTTCTGTTTGACATCATCAAAACTGATGGAAATATACATATATGTGTAGAAATACACTATTACAAAAAGGAGATTTATAATGGAGTGCGGCCGCTGTAGTTATATATAAGATATAATATACAAATATTATGAGATATTTTGTTTTTTAGCGAAAATAAAGGAATTTTCTAAAAATAGCGCCCTCGTGTTTTTGTTACAAATCACAGTTACCAGAAACTTCAAAACTACAGCTGAAATTACAGCCACAGGACATTTCCTATGCAGTGGCAACGTTGAATGCATATAAAATAATGTAGTTCTCCAAAATCATATTGGGCCTATTTTTGTGTAAACGCCGATTACTGTGCGCGGTTAAGACCTCCCGATCCAAGCGAAATAATTCGATTCGCGTGGCCGCGAGCGGCGCGCTGCGCCTATATATACCTGAGGGTGCCGCCGGGCGGGGAGTAGGCGAAGCACTGCAGGCCGGGCTGCTCGGTGCGCAGCAGGATGGCGAGGATGGAGGCGGTGCCGGCGCCCAGCGAGTGGCCCACCAGCACCAGGTCGAATGCCGGCGTGCCGCGCGCCGCGTCCCGCTCAAACGCGCGCTCCAGGATGCGCTCCTCGCGCAGCTTGTCGCGGATGTACGCCGCCGCCTGCACCATGCCCTGCGGCCCGCCGCGCCCCGCGCGCTCGCTCACGACTCCACAACACGGTACAGGGGCAAGGCGCACGTCCAAAGCAACGATCTGAGGTGTGTCAAGTCAGTCGGGGAGCGTCAGACTGTCGGGGTGTGTCAGACTGTCGGGGTGTGCCAGACTGTCGGGGTGTGCCAGACTGTCGGGGTGTTGTGCCAGACTGTCGGGGCGTGCCACTGTCGGGGTGTGTCAGACTGTCGAGTTGCGAGAGACTGTCGGCGTGTGCCAGACTGTCGGGGTGTGCCAGACTATCGGGGTGTGCCAGACTATCGGGGTGTGTTAGACTGTCGAGTTGCGAGAGACTGTCGGGGTGGGCCAGTGTGTTGGAGTGAGCCAGTCTGTAAGAGGGAGCTAGTCTGTTTGGTGAACCGCTGTGCCTAAGAGAACGAGTATATCAGGTTGAACGAGTCTGTCGGTATGTGTCAGTCTGATGATGTGCGCCAGCCTGTCGGGATATTCCAGACAGCCTAAACAAGTCAGTCTGTGTGGATGTGTCCGTCATCCGGGTGCGGCAGCGTGTCGTTATTGGTGAACCCCCAGCCTTTCGGTGTATGTGTAACACCAAACTGTTTGTAGGCAACTCCCACCAATCTGCCTGAGTAGGTGTACGTCAGTGTTGAGTTCGGTCAGTTCATCGGCACATGTCTCACCCTTTCGTCGATATGTCAGCAGCCTATCGGCGTATGATGGTTTGGCCAGTGCATGTTTTCGATGTGACTCAATTCACTTTTTTGACCATATTCTAGGGAATGGTTACGCCATTCTTTGAGAGGTTTAGCGCTCACCTTGTGGCCCAGCCAGTCCTCGCGCGGCGGCGCCACGGGCAGCTGCTCGCCCTCGGCGTTGAGGTCGGTGATGACGTCCTGCAGCGACAGCGTGCCCCGAATGCTCACCACCACCTTGCGCCGGCTGTAGTCCACCGCCACGAAGAAGGGCGTCTCGCCCACGTCCACGTGGTACGTCGCGTACACCACCTCCACCTCGCCCACCTGCCAGCAACCCATTTACGCCCCCTTAAGTACACCCTCTTACGACTCGGTACAACTCACTGAGCACTTCGTGTTTGCGGAAGGGTTTGGTTCCCCGTGCCTGAAATAAAATATAATTGGCGTAATCCTATGTCCCTTGTGGAAAAGGGAAAATGAAGAAAGTGAAGCAGAGAATGAGAAATAATTCACTTAACGAGTCACGAATTCTACACATTCTTATTTCTTGCTCACTTCTCATGAAGTTTCAACACAGTATAGACCGACAGCTAATATCGGCCGTAGCTGATCCTCGTGATTTTCTATTGTCTTTTACCTGTTTGACACGAAACGTTTTTGAGTTGACGCGACCCCTGCCTGCCATGCTACATTAATATTAGCTGGAACACTGAGGATAATAACAAGAATAAGAGAAAGGTTGAGGGGGAGAAGAGGAGAAAAAATGACTGAGAAGAGAAGAGCGAAGAGAATGAAGAGAAGAGGAAAGAAGTAATAGATTAATCACTTCTTTATTTATTAATTAATTTTTTTATTAATTTATTTAATTATTTGCTTTTTGGGCGTGTCAACTGCTACTGTCACTGGCCCCGTAAATATAGTGCAAGTGGAGGCGATGTTCCTCCCCACTACAACGTTAGATCCGGCGCCGACCTAAACGTCGGCTCGCCTTCCAAGACTCTCCGATATCAGCGAGGCAACGCTCCAGCGGGGATAAGCCCCAGCACCTGACAAGCGTCTCGTCATGATTGTCTGAAGGCACAGTGCATGGATGTATGTGATCGCGCGTGTGTGGATAAGAAGGTAGGCGGGGACAAGGATGAGAAAGGAAAGACTGCGTGGGTCTGTGGCCCGCTTGCTAAGGCACTGTTCGGACATTCGCCTGGTATTTATCGGAGAAACCACGGACGAATGTGGAACAGAGCAGCCGGCCAATTCTCTGGCCAGCGGCTGAGTTCGCCCTGTGTAGCTAGTGCAGAAAACTCCCCACAGTCGGGACTGGAACCCTAGAATGTTCCAGTCAGAGGCACTGCAGTGATAACTGTTGCTTTCGTGAGTCATCTCACACTGCACATGGATAATGTACCGTATCTTACATTACAATACATTATATCATATTATATTATATTATATTATATTATATTATATTATATTATATATTATATTATATTATATTATATTATATTATATTATATTATATTATATATTATATTATATTACATTACATTATATTATATTATACTTAAAATCAAGTATTGCTGGGGAAACGTTTACCACGCTTCAACGCAAAAGCAAACACCATGTCCACCCAAGGCAGGTTTCGAACACTCAAAGAGCCCGCAGCTCGCAGCTGCTACCGGAACCTCTTCGCTACGGAACCCGGTACCTCCCGGCGCGATCCACACTCGAGTAGCGAAAGCGGTCGAAACTCACTCGGTTGAGAAGAAGACTGTGACATCTCCCTCGAGCTGCCCCCTTAGGCAGCATGCTTACGAGCTTCGAAGCGCACGCGCCCTCCGAGGTAGTAAAACGAACCAGAGCGGGAAGGAAAGCGCAACCGCGCAAGAGGTCGTTAGGGCGGTGATGCCCACTGGAATGGGGTTAGCGAAGTCGGGCTGCTCAGTCTCGCAGGGCGCCGAAACGAAAGGGAAGTCGCAAACGGAGTGGCTGAAAGACGCTGTCACCGTCAAAGTGGGGTTCCCAAACATGGCTTCAGCCGGTTGAAAAGAAGTGTCATTCCACGAAAGAAATAATGCGGATGCCTGCCAATTTTTTCAGCACCCCTTTCAGGGGTATGGTTTTTTAGAATTATAGAAAAGCCTTTGGGAGTAAAGAAGAAGATTCACTGGAGAAAGAATCTTAAAGGACGAATGAAGGTCACTACTTGTAGAACATTTGTGCAAGAGTGGTTGCCTAAATTCAGGGGCAAATTCCACTTATATAAATGGATATAATTCCGTTAAAAGCATATAACTCCTTGGTATTGATCCTTCCAACGGTAAAAACAATTGAAATACTCTACATTTTTCTCGTTTTCGGCGGACAAGACACGTTGACTAAATATTTAGCTTTAAATAGTAGTATGTCTCAGAAAAATTGTAACTAACTACTAGGATAGGTAGCGGGCTAGATGAATAATGCTTTTTTGCCAAGGAACATGTACTCGGAAATTTCATATTACAGTCACCTGTAACATTTGCTTCGTGATTGTTAGGTTACCCTCTTGCCCGGATATGTATAAGGTACATGAAATATTTTTTGGCTCGGCCAGAAGAAGAGTTGCCGAACATTAACGTACGGGGTGCCTAAACTTACATGAAAATATCACGTACGTAAATTCGTTATAAGATAGTTCCTACAACCTGTTCATGTTTAAAAAGTCTTTATCTTGGATCGCTGAACTTGCCCTAGAAGTTACTAACACTGCTCAGATATGTTGTATATTAGTACTGCTACAATAGCGTCCAAAACGTATGAAATGAACTCTTAGAATTATATCATCTACGCCAAATCTTGTAAAACTACAGAGGTTGAAAACTGAGAGTATACTCGGGTTTTTATTTCTTGGCGATGGGTTTATTCATGGTGGAATATCTCGCGGCATTTTGCGTCTTTCTTGTCGTGCCGCTAGATGTCGCATGATCGACATTACTGCTCGATAAGGTCGCGATCACGCGACATCTAGCGGCACGACCGAGAAAATGCCATGAGATATCCCACCGTGAAGACATGCCCTCACGCGGCAAGAAATAAAAGTCCGAGTACAGTTGCGCCGCCTGCGTGGGGTCTATTACTGAATCGCTACTGCGCACGCCCTCCTGTGCTCGTGGCCTCCGCCGCGGACGTGCGTGGGGGGCCGTTAGAGGTGCGCGGCGCTTTGTGGCTGTTCGGGGAGGCCTCAAGACTCCCGCGAGCCCCCTTCGGCCGGACGCCTCCGCCCCCGCGCGCGCCGGACGACGGACGGCGGACCGGGCGACCCGCCCACGCGCACACGGCTCGAGGCGACGAAGCGCAGTGGCCGGCGAAAAGGGTAGTATCCTACATTGTTCGATTGATTTATTAGTGATTCCGGCGCGTCAACACATACCGTCATAGTCCCGTAAGTGTAGTTCATGCTATTATATGCGGGAGGTGAGGCTGTGATATTCTCCCCTTGGAAGGAGAGATATGGCGCCGACCTACGTCGGCTCGTGGGGATTTTCCCCAACCAGGTATCTCCCACCAGGGTTGCTCCGTCCCAGCCAAGACATGCTCTAAGCTCCCGACTGGTCTTCGGACAAGTGTAGTAGTGTAGTGAATATGAGTGTAAGTGTGCGAAAGTAAGGGGATGACAATAGGATACGGAAGAGGAAGGGAAGATCGCACGCGTGGAAGATCGCGAAAGATCACGTGGTCGGTTTGTTAGGGTACTGTTCCGGCATTCGTCTGGTGTTGTTCCGAGAAACTACGGCAAACAATCGATCAGAGCAGGCGGCCGATAGAATTCTCTTCCAGGCAGCGCTTGAACCCGAATGCAGCTGTCTAGTTAGTGTCGAAAATCCTACCACCGTCGGGACTCGAACCTTAGGACCTATCCGTCAGAGACACTGCAGTGACAGAGCAGATGATGCCCTTTCCAGTCATTGCGATGGGAAATAGTTTTGAATAAATTAAAATTTCCTGAAATCGTTGCATTGTAAAGGTTGAGAAAATAAATGACTTACTATTGTACTGCATACATATTTTCTTTTTTTAATTATTTCTACAGATGTCCACAGCTAAACCTGAATCAACTTTCCTGCGAAGGATTTAGCCTCCTTGCTCCCCCCCCTTCGCAAAGGACAATTTGCCACTCCAGCCTCCAGTTGATTAGTATATTATCAACTATGTTCAACTAATATACTTCAAATTTTAAAATTTCAAATTTTTCAATTTCAAATTTTAATATTGTATGATAGGGGATGGTGGCGTAATATCACCAATTAGCGTGCATTCGCGAATTATGGCTGGTAACACTCGTCCGAATCACTCAGGCCTGATGTCTATATGGCGAGAATATCCATAATATTTTAATTCCTTTTTTAAGAATTACAATTAAATTTTCATTTTATCTCAGAACTATTAATATAGTGCTAATTCCAAAATTATTATTTGATTTAAACGTTTCGGTAGTTTCTAGATATATAATAGTAATAACACTATTTCTACAATTAATAATGAATATGTTAACGATAACGCAATTTAAATTCATTCGTTTACTATATTTTTGCGATTTCAACTTTATTAAATACAAAGACATTTTAAAGAATTTTTCGCAAAATTCAGCCGACTAAAATGTTAGCGCCCTGACAGCTGCCTAGTTACGTACGTGTAAATCAAACTCTGCGAATTTCAAAACTTAAAAATTATAAAATGTTAGTGTTATTCTTCCAACAATCACGCTATTTACGATCGACCATCGTAAACTACGTCTTTCATAATTTATCTTAACCTTCTTCGAAACCTTTCCTTTGACTTTTAAAGTAAAGGTTATGATGAAGGATAAAAAAGAAAAATATTCTGTTTTACTACGCACCAAAACCAATCCAAAATAATTTTTGGAATTCTATTTGGTTTTCCTCTACTAATTGAATGTTTCTTCCTTATTTTTCTCTTACTTTTATCTAATCTTGATGGTTTGGATGATCTTAAAATCATTTCGGTTGCTGGTTAGGTTGCAAGATTAACTTTAAATTTTTCCTCAATTTCCAAGTTTCTGATCTATACGAACAGCTTTATATATTCGATGTAGTTTCTTTAGTTTACTTTTTGTTGCATAATACTCTATTGAGAAATAATGTATGGAAACCTATTTTTATCTTTTCTTTCAAATTTTTACTACGATTTTTTTGGTTTTTACATACTTTTCAATAGAACAAATGAAAGAAATTTGAACATGTTTTGAAGTTAAGGCGTGGCCAGCCACTTTGACACTCTGACATTACCCCACAATTATCTTCTTCCTTCTCTGGAAGTTCTTGTGCATA